ACCCATAAACCACATGTTCAGTTCAATACATCCCACACAAACTATTTAGTTCAATACATCTCACACCATATACAGTTTCAATTCTACACTCGTCCAACTTAACGCCTAGGATACTCACTTAAAAAAATCATGTTTTTTAGGGTGGGACCCCTTAGTCGAGCACCCCACTCAAAAAAACAATTTTTGTTCAAATGTGCCAGATTAGGCAGAATAATAATTTTTTTGTTTGGAAAATAAAAATGTGAAATGAGTTGTGTTTTATGATTTGATCTGAACAATGCCCTCTGACCTGATAGGTCAACTTCGTTATTAACTACTGAATCAGAAAATGCTGTGTTGCACTGATGCCAAGTCAGATGTGTTTGGTATTTTCAAAATATCATACACATATATAATCAAATACACCCCCAAACACCATATATACCGGGTAGTTCAATATATCCTGCACAACATATGAACCAATACATTATAAAGACCAATTGACCATAATCTCACCTGGTTTTTGTTTGGAGCCCAATGTAAATCTGCAAACCACATCTTAGATTTACTCAACTTAGGTAAAAGGTAATGACTAGTACTGTACTTAGCTGATAACAAAATAACATTTTTTGATATAAATAAGATATAAAAGAAGAATATATAGATAGACCTGTGATGTCACATTCTTTCACAGCGTAGTGTTACAGTTATTAACTTGCACTTGTTCACAGATATCAAGTATAGTTTGGGGGAAATAAACTTGAAGGCATAAGGCACTGTTTGGTATTACATGTACTTGTATTGGATATCAATGTTCAGTACAATTCATATGTAGATATCCATGTCTACTGAAGGTCTCCATGCATCATCTGTATTTCAATTTAAAAGCAGTATGACTGAAAGTGCATAGACTGATAAAATGTTGTGATTATAATCTTACAATCAGACAGAGAAAGAGGGTGTATACACTATAAAAAAAACAAATGGCCACCAGTTAGCCATTTTTGTTTGAATCTGAAAAAACAATACGACTTGCAAATGCAACTCAGTATGCATGATCATGCAAAAAATGATTGATTGAAATCACCATCACCTAACCATCTTCAAGTAATGATACTGAAAAGGTTTACACATTTTTGACAAAATGGTTGTCAATTCGACACCAGTCGCTGATGGTATTGCAACAATATCACTTACGTTTATCTTACCTTCTTTGACATATCTTGCAGATGTTGATGGCCTAAACCCAGCAGGTATTGCACCCATAGCACTTAAAACATCAGTTACACTTGTCTATAAATATAAATATCATGTAAAATTTGAGTTTGGCACTTAAACACATGAATTTTGAGGCCAATGTTTTATTAGTTTCAATTGTCGCATGTAATTTGCAGAAACAGTGTAGAGTGACTCTGATTATCAAAATAGGTGGAGACCTTGTCTGTGGAACTTTAAATACTGATGAATAATAATGTAGTATGGAATTGAGTGTTAAAAAAACAATTGACCACAAGCAAGAAACCTCAAAATTACACTGTGGGTATTACCAATTCAAAAAAAACCTGAATGATTGTGTGATTCTATGTAATAAATAGTAACACTGCATCGTCAGAATAACATATTGTACACTCACCTCAGTAGTAACAACAGATTTCAACCCTTTCCATAACATTTTACCACTGAAATATAGAATGCCATAGTGATTACAAAGAGTTTTATTCTATAAAATTTTAAAGACAAAGGAAATAACATTGACTATAAAAATTACGAATAACAGAATTAGATAGAGAATCAAACACAATGAATATTGTTAATTCAAAGCTCAACTGAAAAACTAATGGGACACTACAGACTACATCTATATTTTTAGGTTAAGGTTTCATTACCAAACTAGCTAAGAGGTCTATTGGTTTGGCTA